CAATTATCTCTAACTTGAAGGACATGGGGTAAATAAAAGGGGGGAGGGGAAGTTTACTGAAACAGCTGTAAACACAAACTAAAGTAATCAAAGCCATATTGGGAGGCCTGCAATTTGGTTGCCCTCCACCCCTTTAGATAATCAACTGCCACCCAGCAGGGTAGGAACCTACACTATTGCATAATTTACATAAGAAATTAGCAACCAAAATTTACACCTGAATGGTAACCGCCAGCAGCCCAGCAGGTGTTAAGTATCTGCTTATCTAAATTGCCTCTAAAAATAGCTCTACCTTCCTTTAAGCCTTAGGTAAATAGAGGATTTCCCACCCTGAGAAGGTGGTTTGCTGAAAGGAGTGCAGGCATTCATTATATTGTCCTACTTCGCTGCCATTTTTATAGGGAAAAGTTCAGGGCTGCTCTCCCTTTGAGTAAGAAAACTGTCAGAAGTGTCTTAGAATCATCTAAATGAAAGAGCTACATAAACCACAACCTACTTTTTGTTTTAAAAGCCATCCCTCCCAGGAGAATTAAATGGGTAAATGAATAAGGAACACTGATTAGAAGAACCAAAGTAGATGATGTAGGAATCTAAACACAGGACAGATGTTTTCAGATTGTCTGGGAATTTGAATTTCCTGCATGGATGAGAGTTCTTTCTTCTCAGAAAAAAAAACCCTGCATCCTTTATCTTTAAAAATCCTTTACCTTTAAAATAACTTTCATCTTTCCCATATACTTCTCATATTTTAAAATTTAAGAAACACTTGCTATCTTTAAATCACTGAGTTTATAACTTGGTGAATACTAAGTAACCTTCCATACCTGGTTATAAATAATGTTAGCACTGACTACTTCAACAGGCAAACTAAAAAACATACTTACGTTACAGGGAGACAGAAGTCTCTCCATTTTTGGGTATAAAATTTGATTACTTCAAACTACTCTATTCTAAGGTTTTTACTCTGGTTTTTATTTAATTCTCAAAAGCTTTTTAGTAGGGGCCGGGGATTTAGTCCAGCGGTGCTGCTACCTGAAAGCACAAGGACCTGAGTTCGATCCCTGGTACAAAACAAACAAAAAAAGATTTTTAGTGAGACTCCAAAAATATTTTAACTTCTATTTTGTTACTTGAAAACTACAGTTAAATAATGGGAAAAAACAAGAACCAAGATATATCATGTATGGGTACAAATTCCCAATGATGAATGCAATCAAAGTAATCCTAAAATGTACCAATAAACTTAATGAATGAAAAAAATTGTGACTGTGCCAGGGATGTAGATCAGTGGAACTGTGCCTGCCTGGCAAGTGCAAGAGCCTGAGTTCAATCCCTGATGTGGGGGAGGGGGTGCGACAAAAAAGCATAACAATGGATACAAACCAAGTAAGCAGTAACACAAATGCTTGTCTCCTCCCACCCACATCTTTACAGCCTTGTATTACATAAATAGCGAATCAACCCATATATATTACATCTGAGCAAAAGGAACCAACCAGGCAAATTCAGAAAGTATATGCTGCAGCCAGGCCCAACCCACACAGCAGTAGTGTCCATTGCTGGAGACCACTTATAGTGAATCATGCATAGAAAGCTTTTAGGAATATTAGTCAGGTCTCTAATGCTCCAGATAGAAGATTTAGATTCCCTTACTATTAGAATCTCAGGGAAGATTTTTTGGGGGTGGGGTGTCAAGAGAAAAGGAAACTCCCAAACAATGCCAACGATTTATCTGGCATTAAGTATTCGAATCTTCAAATTACAAACATTCCTTATTTAGTGACCTATCTGGTTAATAACTGTTCTGACTTAAATTGGAGATACTTATGACCTGCCACTCAGACTTATGACGTCTTTTTTTTTGTATAGTTCTGTACATCTTTTTTTGTAGAGCCTCAATGTATTTTTTGCACAGTACACACTGGTTATGCAGTACTGTAACGTTTGCTGACTGTACTCTGCAGTTGCGTGCAGCACAACTGTACTGTAGCTTCATGTTCTGTTATACATTACAGTACTGAGATTAAGAGTTATGCCAAGAAAAGTCTCAAGTTGGAGTATTTCTTTGTTCTGAATATTGTTATGAACATACTATACACAATTCCTCATCTAGCAACCAATTCACTTAATAATGACCTAATTATGGGACCCTAACTCAGTCCTTAAAGGAAGAATGCCAGTAGCCTCTTGTGTTTTAGGCACAGTCACTAAGTATGTTGTTCAAATAAATGCAGCACTCATGAAAAGGCAAATGTCTTCAAAATATGTATGATTTCTGTAATGTTTGAAACTGGGGGGGGAAATAAGTTACTTGATATTCTTTCAATATGAGGTTGCTTTTTTGCCTCAGTATCCAAAAAATATAGTTTGCCTATTTTGATGCAGAAGTGAGTGATTTTTGAGCAGTCTTTTGAGACCTGTTGATCACATACAGTACAGCCAGAACAGCTGTGCCAAAGGGCCAGAAAAATTTATCAGTGAAATTTTTTATTGGTCTCACTTCTGAGAAATGTTTGTTTCTAACAGTTCCTCAGGTGATAATAAAACTAATTCATTTGGTGTTAAATAAATTCTCAAACTCTTTAGAAGTGATGCTACCTTTGATACTTTTTTTTTTTTTTTTTTTTTAGACGAGGGTTCACTATAATTGAGGTCCCAGGCTGGTCTCAAACACACAGCGATCCTCCTGCCTCAGCCTCCCGAGTGCTGGGATTACAGACATGCGCCACCATGCCTGGCTGTACCTTTGATACTTTTTGATACGTGGAAATGTCTCATATGGGTGCATGCATCTTCTCAAGGATTATATATACCCTTCCAAACCACAGGAAACAACGCAATCATTACCACCATTACTCTTGGCGCTGTGCTTGTTTTATGTGTTTGATTTCTGTCTCATCCTCCCGGCTAGCCAGCCCCTTACTACGTACTTTATGTCTTTCTGTCCTCCAAGGTATTTACTGCGGAGGTGTTCAGAGCAGTGGCTCCGTCAGTGCCAGTGTCGCTGCCCAGGACATTTGGCGTCTCCCATGGTTTTCAGAGTCCGGCAGGTTCGTGGTTCTGGGATATCGTATTAGAAGTATTTAGTTCCGCTGGCCCCTCGCAGTGACCCGCAGAAGCTCCTTCATTCCCGAGCCAGAAGGGCTCATTCAAACCCAGCCTCCAGCAGCACCAACTGCGTGATCAGTGTAACCCTGAAGAACTCACGGAAGCTGCTCAGAGGCCAGGAAAGGGCGTGTGAGGAACACAGGAATAGGCGCTTTATTGACTTGCTAGGTAGGGATCATATCTGGATTGCATCTGTTGGTTATTGATGAGCACTTTCCGTGTCAGTGCTGTCCCATAAGATATCCTGGATTTTCTGAGTAATTTTCATCCCGGCCTTTTCTGACATGTGAGGGATCGATATTGCCTGAACCCAGCTGATGTGATGATTTGTTGGTGGCTGCTGTGTTTTTTTGTTTGTTTTTTTGGTACCGGGGATCAAACTTGGGTCCTTGTGCTTGTGAGGCATGCGGCGGAACCATTGAGCTAAATCCCTGGCCCTAGGCTGCTGTATTTTATTTTAAAGGTTATTGGAGAGCATGTGTTTTTAAAAAAAGCAAATCATTTTCATTGAAGTTTCTGATAATATGTTATCTAATACAGAAAGTCCTGGTGTAACAACCTGCCTGTTTAACTCCTGTACAGAAATACTATGGAGATACGCTATTTGGATTTTCAGCCTGCCACTCAGATTTATGACTTGATTCTTTTGTTTAATTCTGTACATCTTGTTTATGGAGCCGCAATGTCTTTTTTTGTACAGTATTCCTTGTCTACACAGTCCTGTAACTTCTGCTGGTTGTACAGTTTCATGTACTGTACACACGTCACGCAAGTAAAAGCAAAGTCATGAGGTTGGAGATTCCTGTGACCATGTTTTGTTCTGAACAGGGTAATGTACCTGCTGTGTACAGTTCCGGAGCCCTAACTTGGCCATTAAAAGAGGAGTGTCTATGTTCGCTTTTCAAGCTTCAGAAGAAGACTTCTCTCAAGTCTTTGTCCCTCTTCACTCCTAATCAAATCTTTCATGCATTGATCACTTCCCAGGTCCATCAGTCTGTATATAAACATTACACTCTGGCTAATGTGGACAAAGTGAAACCCACATACTAATTAGTCTGATGCTCATAAAGTAGCACCAAAGTGAAGGGAAGAAAGAGGAATTTAAGTTGCGATAGAACCAGAACCATGAAAAACTGAAAATGTTAGGGACCACATTTATTAAAAATGTGGTTAAAACCTTGGTGGAAGAGATGGTTGATACAAATAAATAAAATGAGATTTCCAACTATTTACATTTTTATACTCTACAGATAAATGTTTACATTTACAAAAGAATTATATTCTTTTACATCTACCCTAATGAGTGTTCAAAGCAAATGTAAAAGGTATATAAATAGGGCCGGGCATGGTGGCGCACGCCTGTAAACCCAGCACTCGGGAGGCTGAGGCAGGAGGATCGCTGTGAGTTCAAGACCAGCCTGGACTACATAGTGAGTTCCAGGTCAGTCTCAACTACATAGTGAGACCCTGTCTCAAAAAAGGTAAATAAATATAAGACATCTGATATGTCTATTACCACTGAGAGGTGGAGTAGAATGGAGGAGGAAGAAGGAAAGCTAAAGAAGTTCATAAGGAAGCAGCACTCTTGCCGCAGCACTGGGAGTACTAGAGAAACCCTGAACTGTGTCTGGACTCACCTTTGCAAAGACCCTCACAGGGGAGTCATTCAACTGTGAATCTCAGTGTGTCCATCTGTAAGATGGGGCCATAACACCTTTCTTGTGGAAACCTGCTGTGAAGTCACAGGATATGATGGGAGTCAGGACACAATCACGGCTCATTCCTTTCCATAATGACTGGTTTCTACCCTTGAATACCTCATGGAATGAGTGGAAACAGACCAGACAATATCAGAGGGAAAACAGTGAAAAGAAAACCAAACCAAAACCCACCATCTGTAGTGCAAGATCCTTCTGGGGCAGGTTTTTGTGAATAGGGGATTGGTGGACTGTTGGAATCGGACATTTCTTCATCATCATCATCTTCTTCCATTTCATTAACTGTTAGATTGTTAGAAAAATCCAAGCTGCCATTTTGTGTGTAGCGGTGTACCAAGTCTTTATCCAGATCCTCCACCTTGGGCTTGACATCTGAGTAAACACAGAATTTAATAAAAACATGCTATGGAAAAGCATCAGAAGAAAAATTCACAGCTCTGAAAGATATCTGAGCCAAAGGAGACTAGCATTTTGTAGCACTTAGCCAATTTATTTCAGTACACCCAGGATTTGGCATCCCCAGCGTTCATGTTGGTGGCAATAGGTATTGAACCCATGGGGCCTCTACTACTGAGCTATATCCCTAGGTTCTTTATTTCTATTAAAAAAACATTTATTATCATTATCAAAATCATCATCATCAATCTTCCATCATTTTGGTACCAGGGATCAAACCAGGACCTCACGCTTGCCAGGCAGCTGCAGTACCACTGCTCTACATCCACAGCCCACCCTATCTTATCTATCTATCTATCCATCTATCTATCTGTCTATATATCTATCTGTGTGTGTATGTATGTATTTATTTATTTATTTTTTGGGTACCAGGGATCGAACTCTGGCCCTTGTGCTTGCAAGGAAAGCGGCAAAACCACTGAGCTAAATCCCTGGCTCTCACCCTTTTTATTTTTTGAGACACTGTCTCACCAAGTTGCCCCAGATGATCTTGAACTTGTGGCCCTCCTGCCTCAGCCTCCCAAGTAACTGAGATTCTAGGTATGCACTGCCATTCCTAGACCCACTCTTTTAAAAAAGTCTAGAGTGTGTGTGAATGAGAAACTTACCTGCAGATGAAAAAGGATGCTGGTCAGGGTCCAAGTAGAGCTGGGAAAAAATTGGCCTTGGTACCACACTACTGCATCTGAGGGAGGCTTCTATGGAGTTGTGGAGAGCTTCCTCAAATCGAGCAGATTTCAGCTGCCCAGCGTATGAGTTCCCCATGGTCTACATCCACTCACCCCAAAAGAAAAAAGAAGAAAGAAAAGTGATCTAATTAGAGCCTGTATTTCTGCAAAGTACAAGTAGACCTAATATAAGGTATATCCTTATCTTACTAAGATGTGAACTATATGAAATACATTTTTGTTAAGACAACTAGTGCAAGTTAGCTATTGCTTTTGGTCTTTACAGTCCCAATGCACTTCACAACCCCTTTCCACGATCTTGTATCTAAGACCTTAACAGTAACGAATGTTCTAGGTTAAGGCTCTGTGGACTCCCGGCCATGGCCCTCTAGGAGTTTGACATTTAAAAGGAAACTTCTTCACCTCTACACTCAAGGCATTGATACAATCTGTAACATTCTAGGACTCTGCTTGTTAAACTTGTTGCTGCAATGGGAGAAACTCAAAGAGACAGCCACAGATCTGATGTTCTTTGTAAAGAGTCAGAAAATCCAGTCTTTGCATAAAAGATACAAATAGTTGCTCGGTGCTTCCTGTTGATGTGACCCTATAAAAGGAGCTGTTTCCGTGAAATAGATCAGACTTCTCTTGGTCTCCGCTCAGGCTTGAGTATACTTTCCTTTCTCAATCCTCACTCCCCAACTCAGGCATGTTCGTGCTGTGACGGCTGGACCACCACAAGGCTCTTCGGTGGATATATCAAGATTGACCAGTTAGCCCTGAACCAAAGCTGGCCCATAATGGACCGTGCCTCCTCTTTACAGTACAGGCCACCAGAGCCCACACCAACGTGTCCACAGTTTCAGAGTAAATACCTAATTACCACTCTTTCTATTACTGTGGAGGGTACTGTCTTCTGGAAAAAAATAAAGGGAAGTTTTATGATACTATATTTACTAATACATTACAGATTCCTGAAAGTGAGGTTTGAACCCTTTAACTCAAAGAACTCTTTTATGTAAGGCTACTACTAGTTATTTGGGAGGCAGTATTGTTTGTTTTGCCTCATTTGCAGTGTATTTTTATTTAGGACCCTTCAGGAAAGTTCACAGTAAGAAGTGTTGGAAGCTATGACCTATGCCACCATTAATATTTGTGTAGTACTCACTAGTTACAAAGATTTCTATGTAAAACAATACCAACTATAATAATGTATTGGGTATTGATGACTGGCCAGACCAGTGATTCCCAAATGGTCTGTGGGTATGGAATAAAACTACTTTCAAACCATTAGTATGATATTATTTGCCTTTTTTACTTCCCTCTCTCATATGCATAGGGAGGAATTTTCCAGAATCTGCATGATGTGTGATACTGCAACAGATTGAACACAGAAGCAGAGAGCCTCCTCTTAGCACTAACTTTTCTTTGGGAAAAGTCATTTTTCATAAAATATGCTATTTATGTTAACATTAAATGGGCTGTTTATCATTATTTTTTAAAATAAATATTTATAAAAATTATTTAATTTCTAACATATATAAAACACATAAACTAAAGTTTCATGAATTTGGTCCTCAAAATATATGTACATATTTTTTATGGCACTCGATGACTGAACCTAGGGCCTGTGTACAGAGTTACAGTTTTAAGAGTTTTTTGGTTTTCTTCTTGCAATGGAGTCTTGCTAAGTTGTCCAGGCTGGGGTCAAACTTATGATCCTCCTGCCTCAGCCTCCAAGAGTTCTGGTATTACAGGTATGCACCATCATGCCCAGCTGGTCTGCAGTCATTTTTAAATGTACAAAGAACTCAATACCTCTCCAAGAAATGACAAATCCTGCATTCTCACTGGGTAGGCTCAACTTGGTAGATCTTATTCCAGAACTAGTAATTTTGAGCGTATCTGAGCCCCACTTCTCCCATCAAGTACCGGCGTGACTATTCAATCTCATCTGGAGCCAGCTCAGAGTGGCTACACCGTGGAGGGGCCCCCAGGACACTGAGAAGGTTCCTGGGCCTGGCTCGGAGCTCAGCTGCAAAGGGGCCCATGATCAGCTGGTGCAGAGCAGAGAGGGGTGGGCGTGGTACATCCACTCGGCCCTTGGCCTCCCACCTCCTCCACACACACTCTGGTGCCCTTTGATAGCAAAGAAGGCTTCCTACAGGTTCATGGTAGCACTGAATAGTTTACAGTGACTTTTAAAGAGGCTGGGTTTGTCAAAACTTTAGTGAGAGTTCTACAGTTTGGAGGAAAAGCCAGGATCCTATTATGGCAACTTTTCTCATACTAGGTAATAAAACACTAAATGCTATAGATATAAAAGACTACTTTCTTTTCTTATAAACAGTATATACCTGAAATATACAATATCTGAGAAGACTTTGGATACATTTGGACATAGGTACCTAATTAAAATATATATACCTAATTAAAATTTGTAAGTAGAAGAAAATCTGTAGTCTATCGAATGAAAATTTCTCGAAAAACCAAGTTTTTGACTAAGCCCTTGAGACTTTCTACTAATCCAACTATAAACATTTCAATTTTCTAAAGTTCAAAAGCAATTTATTTTCAACAGCTCCACCACACACAGAACAGAGGAGGTGTTTAAAGAAAAATATACTGTTTTACTAGTTTATGCTCTCAGTAAAAAAACCAACAACCATTTCACCTTTCTTGTTTGCTAAGAGGAAAAAACTGCCAGGAGCTAATAGCAGGCCCACCATGGGCCTCTTATCTATGAACAATGGAATAACTTCAAAGGTAGATCTTTAGCCTTTGTCCAGAACACTGTGTGCCTGGAAATCCTGCCTCTCCTTAGTCTATCTGTAGCCTAAAGAGTTAGTATCTTCCTTTTATCACTGAAAAACTTGAAAACCTGCATTCTCCAAGAGATCTTTTCAGTTTAATGAAGAAGTGCCCAATTATACATGAAGAATCCACAGTCTCAATCCCTTATCCTTACAGGTAGGAGTGATATGACTGATACACAGGCACGGGGCAAATTAATATTGCTCTGAATAAAAGCACTGAATCAACATAAAAATGAACCCTAAAAGATTTCATTAAAAAATCATCCAAGATACGCATAATGCTACAGGTACACTGGTGATACCCAGTTGGAGACAAAGGAAGTATCCATTCTCTCTTCAGACCTGGTAGAGTAAAAGGAAGTAGCTACCTTTATTCCACATGAAACGTAACTGGGCATTTAAAAATTGGTAACGTAAAGCTCAGCAGTGCAGTGCCTGACTAACAATCGAGAGGTCCTGAGTTCAATTCCTGGTATCAAACCAAATCAAACAAACAAAAAACTGATAATGTAAAAGATTATAGAACTGACCCCAAATCTCTTTAGTTCTGATCATAGAATTCTGTTTTTGACAGTCCAAAGCCCAAAGGAGGAGGGAGTTCAAAGAAAGCTTTTTAGTTTAATACATATATTCTAAGTATCATATGCCACTAGATTTAGGGTCCCTGAAACTGTTGGTATTAGCTATCTAGATTATCAGTCTTTCTTTCTTTGACTCTCAAAAAAGACCCAGTGCTTGGGCTGGGGATTTAGCCCAGTGGATCCGCTGCCTTCCTAGCAAGTATAAGGTCCCGAGTTCGATCCCCAGTACCAAAAAAAAAAAAAGCTCAAAAAGCACAGTGCCTAAGATCATATGAATTCTGACTGTATGAATAAATGAGTTCAGATAGAAGATAAACCTTTTAGAATCAGTAATTAAATCAAACATAAAAAGAGCAAATTTGAGTTCCACTATACACTGACATATTATCTGACTGACATCAAGTTTATCAGACTGAGTTACACTGTTTTCCATATTTCCTTTATTTATTGTAAAACTACAAGAGGGAAGAATATACTGAATGTTTTATGGCACTAGGGAGCCCTGAGATATCAGGACTCACTTGTGATACTGAGGAAATGTTTGTGAAAGGGATGGTAAACACAATGGGCTCTTTCTGATCCCCTACTTAACTACTCATAATGCAGACGGGATCCACCACAAACCACCATGACACTGTAGTGGGGGACTTTCTGCTCTTGCCTCTTCCTTTTTTCCACCAGAGGAAAGATTGAAGAAAGGGGATGGGACTGAACGGGAAGCTTTGATCTCCAGTGGCCGTAGGAATGGAACTGGAAAAGTGGAGAAAAGACTAACTTGGGAAATACACGCCCATGAAGGCTGCCACGGCCTCCTCGCAACTCCTTTTCTCTTGTAAATGGGAAGCAGAAGGAATGCACTAGCGGTGGCAGAGAAGCTATGAACCTACAGCACGGCTCAGCTAGGGCTGCTATCATTGAAAGCTCTAAAAGGTTCGCCAACACTGAACGAAGATATCACGGCAAAAGACATGGGTGTCTAGAGGAAGGGCTCCCAGGGGCCAAGAACTGGAGCACAGTAAAAGAGGATACGTGCAATTGATTGAAGCATATCTAAAATATAAAAACTTATGAATTACTTTTGCAATGTAAGGAGGAAAACAATGAGCTCCTCTCAGAAAAAAACAAAAATGAGGCACCTATTTAGTAGATCACTACTGGAAAAAAGAAAGAAAGAAAGAAAGGAGGCTAGCATACGCCTCACTTCCCTGTACTTTAACATAACCAAATAGTCCTGGTTATTAGAGAATGATTTTTATCTATTTATATATTTATTTTGGTATTGGGGATCAAACTCAGGACCTTGCACTTGTTGCAAGGCAGGCGGCAGAACCACTGAGCTAAATCCCCAGCCCAAGAATGATTATTTTTTAATGAAGCATTCCAACTAAAAAATGTGCAAAGAATAACAGAAGTATAAAATGAACTCTAATGGAAAATGCATGCAAGCAATAAGTGAAATTATTAGATAAACGCTTGATGGGGAACTTAATAATGGAAAGATCAGACCGTCAGCTCTTGAACCCACTGATCAAGTTTAGTGCCACTACAAGTGAGGATGCCAGACACTGGTCTGTCTCTCCAGATAGTATGAAGCACACACACAGCTAGTATATATTCCTGCCAAAAGGTCCAAGGTCCAGCGAAGCCTCTAGGACAAGCTCCAGTTATAGGATTAAGGAAGAAATTAAATGAAACCACAGGGA